TAAGGGCGGAGATGCGGCCAACAAGCACACCCAAAAACCTTAAAGAAGGTATAATCAGGTTGTTCATCAAGGAGAACTTCAATGGGAGTCTTCATATTCAAAACACGAGTGGGGGTGCGGTTTATGAGAAAACATGCAGTGGTAAGAGCATCACTCCAGAACCGAAACGGAACCGATGCATGGGCCAAAAGAGTAAGACCAGTTTCAACAATGTGACGATGCTTACGTTCCACAGAACCATTCTGTTGATGTGTATGTGGACATGCTAAACGGTGAGCGATCCCAAGCGACTGAAAGAAGGAGTTGAGGTTGCGATACTCACCCCCCCAGTCCGACTGGACATGAACAATTTTGTGCTTGAGAAGGCGTTCAACATGTTTTTGAAACTGAACAACAATGTCAAACACATCAGATTTGCGTTTAATAAGATAAAGCCAGGTAAAGCGACTATAAGCATCAACGAAACTGATATAATAATTGTGACCACTGACAGAAGTCTGAGCAGGACCCCATACACCAGAAAAAACAAGTTCTAAAGGATGTTTAACCTCACGACTGGACTCCGAAAAAGGAAGTTGATGACTCTTCCCCTGCTGACAAGCATCACACACTGCTACATCTTTATTACTAGACATGCTAGGAAGCTCATGACGATGTAAAACATGACGAACGATAGGTGTGGCCGGGTGACCAAGGCGAGCATGCCACTGTGACGGAGATACCCGAACTCCATTGAACACGCGAGCGACACCAGGATGCTCCAGACGATAGAGGCCCTGGCACAACCGCCCGCTAAGAAGAATGTCCCTCGTGCCCCGATCCTTAATAAAAAGATCAAAAGGATGAAATTCACAAAGCACATTATTATCACGTGTGAGTTTAGGAACAGAAAGAAGATTACGTGTCACAGAGGGGACTCTAAGCACATTACGAAGCTGAAGACTCCTATTTGCATGCCTAGTGAGAAGAGATGCTTGACCAATATGAGATATATGCATACCTGCTCCATTGGCGGTGTGGATCTTGTCGGAGCCATGGTAGGGTTCGCGAGTATGGAGCTTTCCCATCTCACTCGTCAGATGCTCCGTTGCCCCAGAGTCCATATACCAGTGAGGATCAACAGAGTAGGACTGAGTGCGCCCTTGCTGCTTTGTGGACACCGGTCGATCTGCCATGGCCACCTGACGCGCAAAGTCGCGCGTGTCCTTGCCATCATTGCCGAGGCCCAGAAAACTCTTCTGAAAGCGTTTGTGACACTTAGAGGACCAGTGCCCATCGAGGCCACAAAGCTGACACACACGCTTACCGCCAGCCCCCGGTAATGTCGCAGTAGGAGGGGGGGCCGAGGCGGGCGGTGGTGGCAGCCCCGAAGGAGTCTGGGATGATGAAGAAGAGCGGCTACCCTTGGTGGCGGCGTTGGCCGAGAGGGAGCCGTTGCTCCTGGAGCGGCGCGTCTCGACCCGTTGCTCAGTGAGAAGAAGGCGGGAAAAGACCTCGTGCGCCAGCATGGGTTTCGAGTTGCCCCGCTCGTTGATGATCTCGACTAAGGCATCATACTCCTCATCAAGACCATTGACAATAAACGAGTTGAACTCGGAGTCGGTGAGGGGCTGCCCAATGGAGGCCAACGTGTCGGCGAGGCCCTTGACCTTGTTGTAGAACTCAGTGGCAGTGGAGTCAAGCTTTTGACACTCCCCAAGTTGACGACGGAGCGTAGAGACACGAGCCTGCGACTGTGCTGCAAACGAGCGCTCAAGGATGGTCCACGCCTCATGGGACGTCTTGGCGAAGACAACAAGACCAGCAACGGCCGGAGTGAGCGACCCCTGGATGGAGGAGAGGTTCGCCTGGTCCTGCCCCATCCAAACACGGTGCGCCGGATTGTAAACCGGGCCGTGCACGCTATCGATCAGCGCAGGGGGACAGGGGAGAGAACCGTCGACGTAGCCAAGCAGGTAGTGACTCCCAAGAAGCGGGAGAACTTGCGCACGCCAGAAGATGTAATTGTCCGACGACAACTTGATGGTGATGAGGTTTCCGAAGTGAAACGGCGGCGGCGGTAGGGAACCCGTGGAGTAGGCTGCCTTAGGCAAAGGCGCCATAGGGGAGTGGCCACAGGTGCGGCCGCGGGGACGGACGGCGCAGGAGCCGCGCCTGACGCGGCGAGGCCGGCCATCAGGGCCGAGGCAGAGGCCGACATCGGGGCGACGGCGGCGTCGCTGACGAAGGCGGGCGAAGAGGCGCCCGTCGTGGCGCTGGAGGTGTGGACTACCAGCGAGTGACCCGGCGACGAGGAGAAGGAGCCAACGCTCCTCGTCCCGATCGGGAGTGATGCGGCCGCGGCAGAGTCGAGGGGCCGGGAGAGGAGAGCCGCCAGGGAGGCCGGCAGGTAGCTGGCCGTGGAGGAGCCCGATGCGGCGGATCCCGACATGGTGGCGGCGGCGCGATCTGAAGGATGGCGACGGCGCGACGTGAGCGACGAAAGCGGCGGCGGCGGCGTAGGGTTTAGCGGAAGCGTTTGACCTAGTCTGATACCATGTAAGACAATAGGTTTGGGGGAACTGGCTCAACTCTCTAGGGGTGGCCTATCACATATATATAATGAAGGGGTACAACGTTACATCATACGTACACATATACAGAAGCTATACAGTCTAACACTCGATGATTAGTCGGCATCTAGTCGGTGACTGGTCCGCGACTCAAAAACCTTGTGTGCAACATGAAGGATCACCGGAAATGGACTGAAGTATCTAGAAACAACTTTGTAGTTGTTCAATCAGATACAAAAGGGCTGTTCAAAGATCTGATTGCCTGGGTTCCATGCCTGATCCACAGAAATCAGCTATGCTGGAACAATTGCAACCATTTTATTTGAGTAATACAAGCCCTTGTTCCCGGCAAACAAAAAGTATAGTCTTCTGAAATATTCCCTCCATTCGGAATTACTCGTCCAAGAAATGAATGTATCTAGATGTATTTTAGTTGTAGATACATCCATTTTTGTGACAAGTAATTCTGAACGGAGGGAGTATATGTTACTATTTTTGAGCTGGTGGCGACTAGTTAATTCCTAATTACTTCATAGATGCGTTTGAATTTTGCACAAAAAAATGTAACTACTGCTCATAACAAAATTTAACTATAAAATGAATCTTTGGGACAATTCTCGAGTGACATATGCTGAAAGTCAAAGTCTGTTCAAGCTTTGCATTACATGAATCATGCGGGATTCATACTCAAAATTCCCAATGCTGCAAACAGGCCAATTTCCATTGGCAGAATTAAATGGACTATGGACGTGATTATGTAATCAGGAGCAAATCAATATTGTCAATGATCCTAAATTTGAGGATATCACTTAACGAAGTCTAAATGAAACTACCTGCCTTTCTTACTGTCTTAAGAAAGTACTGGCACTATGATTTTGGCCTGACAAAGATAAACTTTCGTTTGATCAAACAGAAACTTCAGCGGTAATAGTATAAAGGGCAATATTCCATTGTCTTTGGGCACCATCCCAGGGCTACGAGTACTGTAAGTCTGCAACACCAGTATTGGGAAGTCCCAGTTTTTCCATTTAATGCTTATTACGTAATCATATTTGTAGAGATCTGTCATTCAATGAACTCAATGGTTCTATTCCGGAGAGCCTTGGCCAACTGACGTCTTTACAGACACTGTGAGGACATCAATTGCACATATTTTTCTTCTGTTTGGGACTTACTTCGTGCTTCTTCCCCCTTAACTAGAGATACTTTCTCTTAATGCAGGAACCTAAATGGCAATGATCTTTCAGGAAGGGTTCCAGCCAGCCTGGGAGGAAGACCTCTACACAGAGTTAGATTCAAGTAAGAACCCACAGCATTTATTACTACAGATAGTTTGCATTCCAGTCACTCCTTTCTCCACAAATATAGGAGCATAAACCCAATCTAGATGCGCATTTGAGTTCCTGTTTGTCTTAATATTACTTGAATGTTTGGGAGTCTTACAAACTGTTGAAATGACAGCTTTACGGACAATGCTGGGCTGTGTGGAATTCCTGGTTTACGTGAGTGTGGCCCTCATTTATCAGTCGCTGCAAAGATTGGCATGGCTTTCGGGGTACTTGTAGCTTTTCTGTTTCTAGTTGTATTTGCGGCATGCTGGTGGAAAAGGAGGCAAAACATTATCCGTGGTCAGAAATTAGCTGCAGGTAAGAAGCTGTAATAACGATTCTGGATTGTTAATAAGATGGCCGCATGCATCATCATGATGCAGAGGCCGGGGGTACGCCTCCATTTCAAAAAAAAAAGAAGAAGCTGCAATAAACCATTTAAATCTGAATGCAGAGTATACAAATTTGTTTGATACAATGGACTAAGTTTTTTTTCCTCCCGTTTTGCAGCAAGGGAAGCTCCCTATGCTAAATCAAGGACCCAGTTTACACGGGATGTGCAAATGGGTAAGCACCACCGCCCGCATGAGACGAGCCCACGGGGTGGCAACAATGAAAGCTCGCCACATTTGCTTTCCTAGTTACTTGCCGCGATTGGTAACGCTATTTCGGTTGTGCGTTCTCTCCGTTATGCTCAGTTAATGCTGCTGCCAGCTTGAGTTGTAAAACAACTGTACATACTAGGTCAGGATGGTGTATATACTCCCTTTTTTCCTCCAAATGTTCAGTCAGGGAGTATTGTCAACTGGGAAATGATCCAGATCATCCTATTTCTAGTTGATGGAACAATTCTATACTAGCTTCATTATCTTTTGTTACGTACGTATATGCAGAACCGAAACAAGTCTATTGCATGCTTTACATAACACCCACTGTAATGATCTGTGGATCTCACCAGGACGTTGCTTATTTTCATAGCTCACAGAGGAAGCAACATTCCAGTCACAGAAAGCAGCCACTAGAGCTGACCACCATGGTTGGTCACTGCGGATCACCGCGCCGTGCCTGGGATGTTTAACCCACTCCAGGTGCAGGATGATCTCGCCGGTGTCGGTGTTCCTTAGCTTGAGGACAATGTTCTGAGAGACCTTGCCGTCTTTCCATGTGATGTGGCTCTCGGTGGAGAAGCAGTTGCCCTTGTCAGGGTGGATCGTCTCGTCTTCATCACGGTGTCGTGAGGGACGTGGCTGAGGTCCTTCTTGGCGATCTCGACAAAGTCGAGGATGCTGAAGTCTGCATCACCCATGCTGTCATCCTTGGTGAAAGTATCATGGTCAAAGACTTCCTGTAATAGTAATAATGAAAGTAAAACCCCAAAGGTTGGTTTCAGGAACAAGAGATTGATATGTATTGGCGGTGAGTTTCTGAAATCCTGATTGGGATGGAGTTGTTGATCGAACTTACAATCTTAACCGGGAGCGTCCAGTTTGTGATGGACAGGGTGAGCTCCTCGTTCCATTCCGGGTTGGTGGATTTATATTTGATACCGGACTTCACTTTCTGCACATGATTACATCTCGGTTTTAGATTTAGCACTCGATCGGCCCAGGCCTAGTGATGATCGGACAGGAAAGTACCTGCTGTCCGAGGCAGATGACGACGTAGGGGTCGCTGCTGTGGGCGAGGGGGTCGCAGATGGCCAAGCTCACCCCGCTGACCACCTTCACCTTGAGCAGCCCAAGCAGGCGCTCCATGGATCGATCGAGGAACCGCGGAGACGTTTCTTTACGCGAGTGGGGGAAACACGGGGTCCCGATAACTGTCACACGTGTGGTGTATCGGGTAGTTGTGCCACACGCCTCGTGTGGCATGGACAGGAACCCGCCCGCACGACCGCGTCCGGGCGCACAAAGGCACGACCCGCAAATCCGGTGTGTGGTAATCCCGCCCCGCATGTCCGGGCCAGAGGACCCCGCAACCCGCACAATCCAGCCGTCCCGGCCTCCGATCGATCCCCAATCCCGACTGCCGCCATCTTCTCCCACCTCTCGAACCCCTACCACCATCGCCTGTCTTCTCTGGTTGCCATGGCAACCAGAGCAGATCCGTAGGGCCTTCCCACCGCAAAACCACACCCCAACCCTCCCCCACCCCCCGCCCCCACTCCAACCCCGCCCTCCAAAGACGACCAGCTAAAAGCAGGTGAATCTCCCGATCTCCCTACTGTTTCTCATCCTTCTTCTGGGCAGAAAATTACAAATTTAC